TTCGGACTCGTCACAGGCCATTGCCTCGCGATTACGAACCTCCCTACCTTCGCCTTCTACTTTACTCCGTCCGATTGCACGCGCTCGGCATTATCGTTTTCTTCGAGGGAAAGTGAACGAGGTGCGACGCAATAATGCTCGTCTGGCTGGTCGCAATGCAACCGAGAATATAAAGGCGATTAATTCACGATTATCCACAAAACGTCATATCTCCCACGGTCGCCACGAGTCATTAGCCTGAAATGGCGTGTGGATTTTTGTAAGAAACCTTTGCTGCGTTTCAGATGCTATATATATGTTAATAAGAATCAACAATAAATTCATTGATATTTAAGATTTGTTGACATTTAAGGAATTATAAGAAGATGAATGATATATATGATAAATAATGAATAAAGGAACAGTTGCAGCGATTTCAAACTAATAGAAAATATTTCATTAGTATCTGACACTGAGCTTGAAATTTTTTAGCTCCATTTACATTGACTATTTCTTAGATATCTCAGTTTCTTAGATATCTCCTATTTCAAGGCATGTTTTCCTTTTCTTTGAAATGGAATAGCAGCACAGAAAATGACGGAGGGGTGGGTGGGAGGGTGTCCATTAAGCCGCACATTGGCAGACATTTGCGCCACTGGTCTCACTCCTACCTTATAATTATAGATTGAACGCTAGAGATTGGCGTGTTTTGCAATAAAAGCGAAATATCCGTTTCGCCATGATCACGCGACTTTATGACGGTGAACGAAAGTTTCAGAACGCCCGAGATGGCCAGTCTCAATGGAGAATGCTTTGTGTCTCTGATTCTCTTGTTCTAAATCTGGAATCATCTCTTTTGTCTGAAATACTTAATTTTCACGTAACTGCAACTTAAAATGCGAAATTTAGAAAAGAATTTTTTACAAGTAAAATCGTAAATTTTAAAAAGCTGCCTCACAAATGCACAATTATTATATATAATTTGTAAATAAAATTGAGAAGAAGAAGCAAAACTAATAATAGGCTTTCTTTTTTTCTCTTTCCAAACATATTTAAAAGTTAATTAAAAGTTAATTAAAATATTTCTTGAATATTTTAACATTACAGGAATATTAATATATGGGAATATACTTATAGCGCGCAGACACGAAAGGCACGACAGGCTCGATTAGATAGATCGAAAACAGTAACGTATTCGTGCCAGTCGCGGCTCTTCCCAGTGATATATGATCACAATATACTGAATTTTTATTTCGCAATCTATTGAACTTCTATTTTGCGGAATGCGCCATCGTTCCTATCATCGATGCCGACACCGTCCTCGGCATGTTGCAAGAACGAGACGAGCGAAGGATTGGGAATTAGACAGGAATCGTGAGTCATGACTCCGGGATCGTCTCTACTTGGCATTAAATCGCTAGTAAAAAAAACGCAACCGTATGCAATTACTTGTGTTCGCGTGCGGTACATAGTATTTTGCAAATTGCAGACGCAGCCGGATTGGCGCACCGTCGCCAACGTCACGGATCTATGACTCATTGCCTGTCGCGAACAAATAGATTAGTATGTACATTCGATAACGTTTAAGTAAATATATAACGGTCGCGTTTTTAAGCTTCAGCAGACAAGAGCGGACCGTAAGTCACACTCGTGTAAATCGTCTATGTTGGAGATCTTCAAGTAAAAGATTAGACATTATATATCTGGTCTGCCATATTTTTCTGCTTAAAATAAAACGAGATAGATTATGCATATGATAGAATGAGATATCAAGTTTGAAAAAATATAGCTAACCAATCAAGAAGTTGTCCAATTTCTTACTTGAGAATCTCTAGCTTATATATTTAATCTTCTTCGCATTCCCACTAAAACTTAATCGGAAAATGCTATGCCAGATTTTGCGCGGCGTGCCGATCTAACATGCTCTGAACTTGTAATGCAGTTCTAAATAAATAATGAAGTTCCAAACATATCCAACAGCTCGCACCGTTGCTCGCGGCCTCGGCTTGTCTGTCGGCTGTTTCAAAGCCGCTTGCATGCACCACGAGCAGCTCGGTCGCGAAGGAAGCGACGTTCGAGCGACTGCAAAAATTGTTCGGTCCAAGTGTGACTCATCACACTCGAGAGATTTCAACGCGCGTGTTTCCGCGAGCACCGGTATTTCTGGCTGGCGGCGTATTTGTGTTATACGGCGTTGTATCAAAGTACAAAAACCACAACTGGAGCGGTGTTATTTGGTGAACGGAATGTTAGAGATACCATGATTTATATCGTGTTCAAGTCATGAGGTACAGTCCTTAGATGCGCAGGAATATGCGCGTTCTCTCGTGATAAACCAATCAGATCGGAGTTGAATTCGCAACAGCTTTTGTAAAGAGGAACAAAATTGAAGACTTGTTTCCAATTATTTTGTTATAGTTTTGTTTTATATAAGAAGTAAATATTTTATTTATTATTTCCATAAACACCAGCTAGCAATAACATTACATCAATATTATACTTTCCTAGTCAACAATATAAATGTAATGTAATGTATAATACGTTGTACGTAACAGGAGTAGGAATATAATTTATAGAAATAAGAGTGGAATTTATAATATTGATATAATGTTATTAAAACATTAAAAGATTACATCATACATTAAACATTAATCTATTATTAATTTTATTAAGAAATTATAAATATATGAAATGTTACATCAATGTTATAATTTTCTATGCTAGTTAACGTTTAATTATTACGTTTTTCAAAACTTTCCTCTCTCTATCTTTGTTAACACCAATTTTGTAATTTCCGCAACGAAATTTGTATTCTTCCGATATAGATATTTTCTGTAGATAACATTATATCAATTAAAAGAATTGCAAATAAGTATTTTAAAATTAAACATATTGTATAATTTGATTGAATAAAATATAAGATATTTTTTTATATACATAAAGTATTTTTTTATATAATTTTATTATATCGCAAATTATTTAAAATCGATTCTAAAAGTATCTTATATTATCCAATCAAATTATACAACATGTTTAATTTTAAAATATTTATACTGTCACTTATTTGCAATTCTTTTAATTAATATCTGCAGAAAATATCTTATGTCGGAAGAATACAAATTGTGTTATATATAATTTTATTATATAATATCTAATAAAAAATTATTACTTATATTAATATCTAATAAAAATAAATACCTAAATATACTCATATACTTGACAAACTTTTTTTTCCAATTTCTTGTTCTGTTCTCCATAATGTCGAGTAATGTCTATTGTTCATTGGCCTTCCGCGGAACTTTGAGAATCGGTGAACTGTAGACCTACGGGCATGCTGGCGATCGGTCGATGAGTAACCATGGGAGACCAAGGTCATGTCTTCCAACTCGATAAACCTTACCGACATCAACCTCTTTTGTACGTGAAAGCATAATGTTTTCTAGGCACGTATGTTTTACATACTTCATATAACATAATGACATTTGACAACCCAAAATAGTGACGATTTGCTCATCCTTGCTAGATAAAACATTCAAAACTGGTAATATATTAAACGAAAGCATAATTTTAATGTTATCATCAATATGGATCTGCCACTTCATTTTGATGAAAATATTTAATATTTAATATCGATTTGAATTCGAATAATAATTAAATCATGATATGCTTATTATTTTAATGATATTTTATTATCAGAGTTAGATTGCATTTAATTATACTTCATCTTATTTTATCGTTATTGATCTTCGTTTCAGACAATTACTTAATCTTGATAACACGATGTGTGCTGATTCAGTTTACGGTGTTGTGAACGTATTCAAGAATACAACGTTGAGAAACAATGTTAGAAGAAAAGTCAGAACTTATTTGAAAAATGAATCATCGATAAAGCAAGAAATACATAAAATATTACCCCTGTATTTGTAAAATTATGTTACATTTCGTAATGCGATTGCGCGAACATCGCAAGTTTTAGTATTGCAATTAATTAACAGGAAATGCCTCACTGCAACAGTAAATGAAGTTAATTAATGTTAACGCTTCATTTAGAATCTACCCGTGTTTTTTCGGTTGTTACGTCTCATTACTAGCCGCGATTGAGCGTTATCCAGCATCAGGTTGAGAAACTTCATGTGAGAACAAAGCGATTCACGTGTGTGGCCATTGCTTGCCGTGTGTACCCGCAATGAAACCAGTTCTCGTATCGCGTTTTTTTGTTATGCACAAATGTATCGTGTTCGCACCTTTGTCGGCGGAGATTTTTCCCTCTTACGTGCCGAAGTACAAATATTTCAATCTTTCTTCTCTCTTTCTCTCTCAATTCCGATCCCATGCGATCCTTTTCTCTATTTTCACTTTATTCCGCGATAACTCGATAATTGGAAAAAGAAATGTTCGCATCATGTACCTTTTTTCTTTTTAATCTTGGAAAGTATTTGGTCTTTAAAGAAAAGTGAGGTAGTTGATTAACTGCGGTCAAATTGTGCGTCTAATTATACGTTAATAAATTTACCAACTCCTTTCACCGAGTTCTCAAACTTTATCTATCTACACCATCTTGATCTCGTTGTGCGTAAGTATGGATGTCGAGAAATGTAATGTATGCATGTTCACTGACTCACGTCGCGAGTTTCTTTTTTTCTCCTAGTTCTCCGAATGATGTTTGAATGTAAGACGTCGATTTCGTGAAAGGAATAATCAGCGGGTCTTTGTGTCCTTTTAAATGCTAAAAATACCTTTTTGAAGCAGAGATCGCAAAAATTTGCGTTGTTTCAGTCGACATAAAATCAATAAGATGGAGTACAGACTTTTGCTTTATGCACAATACATAAAGCATAAGACAACGAACTACTCTGAGCCTTTTATTTCATAGAAAGGAAGGAAATGAAGGATTTTAATTGATTTATTTTCTTATGCATCATGCGTTATGCGTTATGCAACACTCTGTACTTTCACCTCTACTCAAAAGAAAAGAATTCATCGTAATTGAAAATTAATACGAAACATTTTTTTATGTGCAGAGTTTGGAGCAGGAAAGGCATCTATTGCGGAGGAGACTCGAGGAAGCCAGAGATGAGAGTGAGACGAGGGCTTTGGAGCTCCAAGCTGACGTGGAGAGCCTCAGGAGCCAGTTGGAGGAGCAAAATGAAAGGGCAAGAAGAGCGGAACGTGATCAAGCCACCCTAGTTGCAGAGTTGACGGCGCAAAACACGAGGCTGGCCGATCAGCTGAGGGAAGCTGCCAAACAAGAGGAGCAGTTGCTCGCGGAAGTGAAGAGGCTGAGAGAAAATTGCGCTCTCAGAAACACTACCCTGCAGGATCATGTCAGCAGCTTAGAAGTCCTTAGGGACGAGGTAAACATGAATTTTTAATCTCGATCATATTATCATACATCATCCAGTAGTACGTAATTAAATCCTTTTTGCATATAAGAACTTGACTTTTTTCTATTCATTAATGAATTTCTTGCCGCGGTTTCCCTTTCGCTTAATTGTTCTAATTGCGCGCGAAACGGAAACTATTGTTATTAATCATTATCCATCGGAAGCGGAATAGTTCTCAGGTGGGGCTTGCTGAATAATTCGCAGCATCCTTTTTATGAAAAGGAAGCGGTAATCGTCGTGCTCGTGTTCGCACGTGAATTTTATGCGTACAATCTCTGGGAAAATGCTATCATCGAATAAAAATGAACATGACCCTCGTCGGTCGACCCGATTTGCTTCGTTCCGTCGCCCTTTCATCTCATCTTATAATAGCAAATATAGCAACCGGATGTCGACTCTCAGAAATTGTTCGTGACACATATACAAAATTTACTGAACTATACACGTATAAAAATAAATAGTTGCATCTCGCGAATTGTGACTATATATTTTAACATTGCATTTATGCACTCGCATGTTTCATACTTCTATATGGAAAAAACGGTTTTATCAAAGTATTTGAAAATTAGTTTAAAATTAGTTAAAAAGTAAGTTAGATGCTGATCTGAAAATAATTTGGTTGGACTATAAAAATAACTAATAAATAATAATCTAAAAATAATATGTAGGACACAAACTGATTGCTAAATTATCAAAACTTTTTGCAGTATTGCTTATCATGCTTGAGCATCTTACCATTATTTTGATAAATCAAAAAAATTATTTTTAGATCTGTATATAGCTAAATATTTATATACAATAGTTCAGCAAAACTGTGTAAGCAGAAGTGAAAAGTAAAATTGAAACTTAAGTCAAATTCAAACAAAGAAACAATGACATGAGAAAGTGTTGTCAGAATATCATTCATATTATAATATATTTTTGCATTCATACGTCGTTGCAGGTACAACTAGTATCCGCACAAAGGACGGAATTAGAGAGGCGGTCCTTGGAGCTACGAGAGGAGAGGGCCAGGGCGATCGCGGCCCTCGAGGAAGCCGAGGAGAGAGCTACGGCCATGGAACGACTCGGTCACGAAGCGGAACATCGCGCGAGAATGGCGGAGCAAGAGAGGTGAGACCACAATCTGTGATCTAAACACGTGGCTATTCAATTAACATGCGGGGACAATGTTCAATTGAGTATGATCCATTTCACATTTAGATCTTTCCACGATGTTCTCGAAATCCATTTCCAGATGAGAGTTGCTTCTTCATCGAGTAAACGCAGATATCAAACGAACAATTTTTTTACGAACTATTTATTTTATTCATTGTATTATTTTTTTGCTAATATCTATTTTGTACTTAATTTATATTTGAGATGTTAAAATATTCCTGTCGATCACCGAAAAATATCTTGGTTAGTTTCTTTTTTTGTATACATTGAAATGTATTTATGTAGGATGGTGGATACAGATTTCAAAGAGAAAAGGTAGAATGTCTCTTTTCAAGAGAGATTTATGCTTAAGTATTTCAATGTGCAAAGATATTTTTGCAAATCTGAAATAATGTTTGCGAGAGCTAACGCTCAATCTCTCTGTGTTGTCTTTTCGAATTCCAATATTAATCGAGAATTTATTTTGCTTTATGTGGTCCAATTATACGACAATACATTTAGCCGTTATTGTGAATACGCGATCAGCTGATGTCAAATAAACAAACGTCATCTTCTCGAAAATATAGCAAATATATAAAATACTCTGAAGTCTAACCGAACACATAGAATATTAAATCGTCTCCTACATTTATTATCCTTTTTAGAGACGAACTGGCATCAGCATTGGCAGCTATCGAGGCAGAAAGGAGAGCTCGGTCTGGTTCGATACAGAAAACACCGAGGTCTTTGCAAGCAGAAATGGAGTGCGAGGAGAGTGGCAGCTCGCTCGGGGAACAGGAAGACGGAAGTTTGAGAACGGAAGTTGCAAGGGCGACGAAGCGGCTAAGGGAACTGTGTGCTCATTTGAGACGCGGCGAGGACGACTCGGGTTTGCAGAGCGACTGCGATGAATCCATGCTGGTAATTAATCTCACCAACTCCGAGGCAGAAGTGGGAACTAACGATCGGGATACTCATTCTTCACCGGTAAGCAACTCTTTTCATTATTTTTAAAATTGTAAGTATACAGTATGAAAAAGTGGCCACAAAGCTTTATGTCTAATCACCCAGGTAACAATTTGTAAATCATTTATTTGTCATCATTTGTCAGAATAACATTAAAGAAATCGTTTTAAACTAAATAAATAAACTTATCAAAATAATAAATAAACTTGCTACTTAGATAATAATGTATATATTAAAAAAAGAGCAAATTGTGGAATATTAGTTATATTTTATTAAATATAAAAAGACTGCATCAAAAAAATTTCATCAATTGATGAACTAAAAATCATTCTATTGACTATCTGATAGAATTCATGAAAAAAATTAGCAGCCATCGTTGATATGTTCTGCAGTGCCTTAAAAATTTGTATTAAAACTGAAGGTTATTTTAACGTTCATTATTATTTTATATAATATTTATAATAAGACACTTAACACTCCCAAAGTTTGTATTTTTGTATATAAATATACACTAATGATTTAATAAATATAAAACGTTGTGGAACATTTTTGTTAATCTGTATATTATAATTACGTATAGTATACTATCTATCATTCTATCAATTTTCTTCGTAGACAAATTGTCCGGGTGCGCTGATAGAGCTGGTCGAAGAAGTCTATAATCTCGCACTGTCAGGTAGAGGAGCACCAGGAGAATTAGGATTGGCGGTGGAACTTCATAGGGTACGGGAAGAACTGGAGAACTCTCGGGAGCAGTGCAGGATACAGGAGGAGGAACTGAAGCGACGTGGTGATACTATTCTGGAGTTGACGAGCAAATTGAGTGTCTGCGAGGCTGAATTGCGCGGTGCCAGGGAGGAACGTGATAGGGCGAGGTGCGACATCGAGCACTCCGAACTGACGAAGGATGAGATCGTAGCGAAGGCTTACAAGGTGCGAGACCAAGCAGTGGCCCGACAGAATAGGGTGGAGGTGGAGCTGGCTAGGACGCGGATAGACATCTTACAGGCGGATAGTCAGCTGAAGGAGGCGATCAAACAGAAGATTGAGCTCAGTCAGCAGCTGGAGCAATGGCAGATGGACATGCAGGCGCTTCTGGATGAGCACGTGCGAAGCAAATTAACTCCGACCTCGCAGATTGTCGCCACGAGCGAGAATTCAGATATGTCGGCGCCGGCCAGGAAGAAGAGGAGTACCGGTTCGACAAAGAAGATGTTCGGTCTATTTTGACGAAAGTGACGCAGCGCGATGGCCTCGCTGCGTCAAGCGTGAGTGATCGCGACTCACATAGACTTTGATTCCTGATTCCTACACAGCCATTTCGTATAAAAGAAACGTTAACGGAATGAAGAGATAATCGCGAAAAGAAAGTGAATTTAGGTGTACTTATCTTTCTAAAAATCGTTCAATCTCGTGACAAATGGAATAGCATTCCAGACATCTTTTACTTTGTTACAGTCATTATAAATAATGCCATTTGCATCGCACGATTGCGATTTGTGAACAAGCATCTGGGACTAATCTTAAACTAGCGGCTCTGTAATTAAAATTAGCAGTTCGAATCAGACTGGACACATCTAGCAATCCTTAAGAGAGTGGATACCATGCGTTTGATCCGCCATTTTTCAGAACCTGCTTAAGATAAAATGAGATAGAATATACATAAAATAAGACATCTATGCATCTCTTTTTATGTTATGCTGCATTTCAGAAGTTGTCTAAACGGTATCCAATTTCTTTCTTGAGGATTGCTCAAGTAATAGATCTCTCTTATTTGAAGATCTCAAGACATATTTGGATTCGTGCGAATCTCGGGATAAATGTTGAAGCATCTCAGTGCGAGACATGACGCGTGCGAGAAACGTTCACGTTGCTCACAGCGAGGAGTCTATTACATCGATGCTGATGCTCGTGTCGAAACTGTAATTTGAATTTAAGTGGCGTCGCTTGCAGAAACAGGGACGTCCGACTTTCTATAATTCCTCAACTAGGGAAAGTTGCGGACTTCCAAACGTTCTCGACGTGTCCAATATTGTCGTCATCATATTTTTCACCTTCGTCTCGACACCCGCGTTTTCTGTTGGCCGCTTTTTTATCAAATGATCACTGTAATCCGGACTGCTCATTATCGCTTGACTTCATAGACCGTTCATGCGAAAAGTATTAAATTGTGTTGCGACGTTAATAGAATCAGTAAGATGAACAAGTCGTTAACGAAAAAAAAATCATCATTAATACGTTCCGTGCCGAACTATCCCCGCGCATAGAGCAGCATATATACAATATAATAGCCATCACATACTATCCGTAGAACACTTGGAATGGAAAGTTTAACGTGTATTTGTGGTACACTTAGCATGGAACGTGTTAATGTTCTGTCCCCAAGAAATTAAAGTTCCGAGTGATGTCTTTTCTCTTCGATAGATTTTCGATACGTCCAATCGACGTTTTTAGCTCAGGGAAAATTTTTGCATTATTTTAATTTCGTTTTTTCATTACATTTCATTGTCCACTTTCAAAGACTTCAAAAAAACAATTATGTTTCATTGGTTGCAACCAATGATATAATAAGATTAATTGATCACGGTCTCTTGCTTCACGCGGGCAGGTATTAATCGACTCAAAGGTGACGAAAGAAGCAAAGGTTTAATGTCCCGGCAAGACTGATTAGAATCGGCAAAGCGCAGCCGCTTTTTCTTCCGCGCGCGAAAACGCGTCCTGTCATTCTCATCATCGTGGAACAAATCGTTCTTCACGGTACGAACGATCTCCGAGTGGAAACTTCTTATTTCGAAATGGTCCCTTGCGTTTAGCTCAACGAATAATGAAACGGAATCACTTGGATATTTATCGTTCCGTTTTTTTTTCGCGACGCAGGAATATCGAATTCCTTTTGATACGAAATATTGTGATATGCTGTGTCTTATGTTAGACTCGAAGAAGATTTTATACGCCTTCTAATGTTGCAGAAACATTTCTGTAAAAAATCAAAGATTATAATTAGAACGAAAAATTAAAAAAAATTTTTTTTAAAATTTTATTAACAGTGAAATCGCGAAAATAAAGTAATTTGTAAGAAAATTGTGTATTTATTATGTATAAATATGTATTTAAAGATAGTCACGCTTGGATGACTTTCATTATACAGAAAGAACGTTTTGTGTTAAAAAATTTAGTTAAATAAATCTGAAAATAATTTTGTTAGACCATTAAAATATTTATATAGAACGTTCAAGCTGGCTGCTAGAAAAATCAAATTTTTTTACAGCATTTGTCATCATGCTCGAATTTCCTACATAATTATTTTGATGGATCAACAAAATTATTTTCAGATTTAGCTAAATTTTTATATACTTCAACAAAATCGCTCTTTCCATGTATTAAATTTCCCGACTGGGAATTATTACTGTCCGTCCATCGTTCCGTCCGACAGGAATGAATTATTCGTGATACAACAAGAAAAGGAAGGATGAGTAAGCGCTTGGAGATGAAAATCGATCCAATCGCGATTATTGATATCTTAACGATAATACCTTGATATCTTGACGATAGTGCAATACTGGAATATTTTTACGATATTAGTCGAATTGATGATTGCAACGACTGTTCTTTAAGAATTTTGTGGCACAGCAGATCGGTCTTGGGAAACAATGACTGCGATGCGTTTGACAGTACGTGTGATTTTTCATGTGTAGACATTGCATGAATACGTGTGCGTCGCACATAGCAAATCGTTTGTACATTAATTTCCTTCTTTTTTTTTCTTCGGGGCGAACGTACCGCCGAAATTGTATAATAACTGTATAATTCTCGATCTGATTAATTACAACGATGATATTTATTTAATAAAAGTCTGTTTTACGAATACCTTACGTTTCTGTCAACCTCTTTGTCCATGGCTGCCTAATATTACCTAATTTCTATTAATGTAGATTAATTTTAGCTCCGTTTATTTTATTCTTAATTCTTTAATTACTTTACTCTTTAATCTATTAATAAATACTTGTTAATTTATACTCTTCATTTTTTTCTAATTCTTAGAACTAGAAAAAAAATAGAAACTAAATTAAATCAAGATTAAAGTTAATTTTAATAGAAATGAGCATAATTCAATTTGCTTGACTTTTTTCTTCAACGAACTGGAAATAACGAGACACGTGAAAAGAAACAAATAGGCATTTATTCACAAGAGGCAGGTGTAGTTACAGTAGTTTCATTTCTGTCTTGCTTTTCGTATATATGTGTACATATACATTTATATGTATATATATATATACACATATATATTTATATATTTATAATAGTATCTTGTAAACCGACCCGTAATCACCGATCGGCTCAACTACGCAATACAAATGGGCATGAACAATGGGGGCGGGTGCATACAAAGTGTTTGTCCTCTCGCACACGAAACGCGCTGTTTCTATTCCGTTTCGTCTTCTCTTTCGTCTGCTCTTTTTTGAAATTTTACTTTAAACGCAGCGAGATTCCACTTTATAAAATACTGTGTGTACGTATGTGTGAGTGTGTATCGTCAGATAGAATCTCGTTGCTCGTTTCATTTGCACGCTGGCGATTCGCCGTGTCCCGATCTTGACGAATCGCTCTAAATCGCGGACGTACTCGGAACTTAGATGTCCTCGTCCCGCTTCTTTCTAATTATGTGCTTCTCGCGGCATCTTAAGTGAGTATCGTTCAGAGGAGAGTGGTTCCGGTCGGCCCAAAAGGTTAAATCAGCTTGTGAAATTGCGTAATCGCATATGAAAATGCAATATGTTGCTAAGTAGGAACCGATCGTCGATATAATACATAATAAAGGAAAGGACCTCTATCTTCAATTAATCGGCGATTCCTCTCTCTCGTACGATTCTCACCTCTTCCGCAAAGGTATCGGTGTGTAACAATATATAATATATAGTATGACAATATACGACGACGGCGGTTCTTTAAATTTGTCCCCTATAGTAACGCGACGATGACGTGTGATCATGACAACAATGTAATAACAATGAGGCTTTTAGCGGCGATAGCGTGAATAATCATACAGTAAATCCGTAATCAATTCGTAATAATGAGGCGAGTCGTCGCGCGACGTGAGTCTCGTCGAATGTAAAGCGCTTCTCTCGTTTCGAAACGAATTAATCAATAGAGCAATTAGTATAAAGGTATAGAGAGAGGTACGTACTCTTCTCAAGGTAGAGACAGAGAGACAGAGACAGAGAGAGAAAGAGAAAGAGACACTATAATTATCGATGAAGCAATCGTGTTTCTTTTGTGCAGAACAACTCTTCTATCAGTAGATTCGCATTTCTTCTTCGTTAAGGGTATTACATGTCACGGTAAATACAGTAAGGTTCGCTATGCTATGTCAATTATAAGTGGCTCTTGTCGTGTTTCACCACCTGAAACCCACCCCCTTCCCCCTCCGCCCCTCCACCCTCCCAAGCTCCGGTCCACCCCATCATTCGAGATTATATCCCCCGTGACGACGTGTCAACACCTATATAAAGAGACAGTTAAGCTATGCGCAATTTGTGTGAGAGTGTGTTAAGTTCTTCTCTCTTCCATACGTACGCGTCTATACACACGTGTGGCTGTATCTACTTGGGATCATGCGTGCACGCGCGCGCGCGCGCGTGTGTGTGTGTGTGTGTGTGTGTGTGTGTGTTGCGATGTGTATGTGTATGTGTGTACGTGAATGCGAGTGATTGTGCATCAGCACGTATGCGATGCGATGACGTTTTCGTAAACGTGTCTGTCCGTTAAATCCCACAGCTTCGGCCTTACTCTCTATACTTGTATATCATATTTACAGCCACACTATTTGTTAATTTCTCTCGCGCGCTTCTCGAGGCTGTTCTCCCTCTGAGGAAAAAAGAAAAGAAAAAAAGCAAGGGTCAGTCGATGGAAACGCGGGCGGGCGATTCGCGAAGAATCTCGCTCTTGCGAATCTTCGAATTGATATATATCAGGATTTGCGATTTCAGGAGCGACTCGACTTCGCGAAATGAGCTTCACCGCCATGAAAGCCTTTAATTCCATGTTTCGAAGACTCGCGATACCACTGGCTATTTCTCTCTCGAATTCCCTGTATAAGGTATGTGATGTTATGCGACATTTAAACGTTAGTTCGCAATATGAAACGAAAGAAGAAAAAAAATCTCACGACGATGATGACTGATAAAGAGAGAAATATCGCAATTAACTATTTACATAATAATGATAATAATAATAATAATCGCCTTCCCCGATCAGCATATATTCATACATACTTCTTTCACGCACACTCTCCCGTAACGCTCTATTATATCTCACCTCTCTTCTTTTCGCTTTTCTCGGTGTATGTTTTTTTTTCTCTTACTTATAACGCTACATAGAAATATCTTCGTTCTGGGTCCCGCACAACTTTGTATCTCGCAACGACGATGGCTCATACGACGTGACCGTCCTCGTAGGATGACGAGGACTACGTTTTCTGAATGGGAAAGGCTGTCTCTCGAGGAAAATAGGAGGATGCAATTTCAGTGGCTCACAATCCCATATCTCGCTTACTTTTCTCTCTGGATACATGTAATCATCGATAAATGCCACTTAGATTTATTGGGCACATAGGATTTGATGAACAATTTATTAGTTTATTAATCCTTAAAATATCAAGAAGTTACTCTTTTTTATGATTATCGTACAAAATTAAAAGGTTAAAACCAATAAAGGGTTAATTACAAATTAGGCGTGTATTGTATTAGTGCACGTGTTTCGTCTAATCGTAGTGTTTAGTAACCAGAAAAACAGCGGTGAATCTTCTTTACGCATCAATCGTCATCAGTATGCACGCGTGCGAATGTATATATGTATCGTGGAGATGCGATGCGATCAGATTTATACAAGTGTTATCACCGAAACATGCCCGAAGTTACGTTCCCAGCTAAATTCTACGAGATAGCGGCGATCACTAGTGCGAAGTGCAGTCCATGAGCTTGTATATGTTCCTACCGTATATGAGACGTGTGTGTCTAAATGCTGTGTGGGAATAAGTCTTCGTACGTGTTTTCATGTGTTAATGACTTCTCTAGTACGAGCATATTTCCGAGCATGCGTCTCTATTCATTGGAGTAACGATTGGAGAAATTGCGATGGCCTGATATGCATACGATTTTTTTTTAACTGCAATTCGTCGTGCTACGATGCGCCTAGCGGTAACAATTATTTAGCGTTTGCGTTTATGAGGATAACAATTATCACTGACGATAATAATTATTAATACCGTTGTTATTCTTGGTTTAACAATTATCACCGCGTTTCTTCTAGGTGTTGTGTAAACGTTATTGCGCGCACAACGACCGACTACGATCGCGCGTGGTTTCGATACCATTGCACACCACTGATTTTTTGCCTAAGTTATTCCTCCCCCCTTGTCCTCCCCCCACCTCTGGTTGAAATCTAAAGGACGGTCGCGGTATAAGTATTTGTCGTATCGGCTTCGTGATCTCCGAGGTGCTGCAAAGCTCTCCCATAAAGCTCCTATTTAATTCGCCATAAAAAATAAACTCCCTATTGGCCGTCGTGTAAACGTGCGCGCATGTGTTTGCGGATTGTCCCCGGATCTACCGCGCTCGATTGGCGCATCATCGCCGAAATAAGAAAACGCGATGACGTCCGTGGAATACCCGGTCGCGGTGCTGGCCTGTGTATACGTATATATGTGTATGTGTATGTATGCGTGTGTAAATGGAAATACGTTCTCCGCACTCGCATATACGTGTACTCTGGTCGTCGTCCTTGCTTCTCTAATCTGTATATCCAAGATTTCACACGCACGTGTATAATATGTATGTATGTTGTGTTATATATTATATTTATATAATATATATATGCAAGCTCTCTATGGCTCCCCTCGAATCACCTCGAATGCCTTCGCGGATATACACTTACTACTACGCTAATTGCAGAGCTCATTCATTCTCTGACACGCATACAACCTGATTCGCTCGCGAGATCCCACTGGCGGGCTCCTTCTTCATCTTTCCCTCGAGCAAGCGAATTGATTAAAACTTAGCGCGATAATCACCATCTTGTATATACAAACAATTTTTCTTTTCAAACTCTTCCGATTCTTTCGCTTTCTTCTCCCCATCCCCGCTTTCCTACCTTCCCCCGAGTTTTTTCTTCCAAGCATTGATTTCTTGCGAATATTGCTCACAAGCTGATACGCTGCCTTCTAAGGATTTCCGCGACAGGATCGACGTCATCCCTGTCTCTCGATGGAACGCGGTAAATTCGCGACAACCTTTCTCCTTCATCGGATTCAATGCATTAACATACATAACATCATATCGACATAAGTAAGCGTAGTCCACTATAGCTGTGGTATTGGTATAGCACTCTGCGCAATTCTTCGCGAAATTCAGTCGTTTACGTTGTAAAGAGAATATCCATTTGCTCTACGGCTGCCTCCCGGCACATCAGGCTTGATCCCGACGTTTCTCTAGGGATTGCTTTCCCAACGGGTGAACTGGATACGCCTGGTGTCCAGGGAGGGCGACAGCAGCGACTTGAGGGACGCGCTCGGCGGTGAGCCGCCGAAGTACTTAAGTGTCAACGGCGACTGCAGATGCCTGTGTCGAATCACCTCTCGCTCAGCAGGCAGTGGCCAGAGTTCCTAGACAGTCGGGGGACTAATCTGATAATCCAAAATATCCAGCTGCTTGTTAAAACTTTTCATCCCCAACAATTCTATTTGTATCTTATAGTGATTACAAACTCTGTGTGTGTGTGTGTGTGTGTGTGTGTGTGTGTGTGTGTGTGTGTGTGT